AATTCTGGGACTTGAAGTCCACTCATCTTAAAGTGGCCAAGTTTGGACAACACTGCTATAGATTGTTTAAGGAAGAAGCTGGGATAGCTTATAGCTTTATTCCAGATTTTCCCTGCAAACACCCCTGAGTCACATTATGGCTTGCAGTTATGCCCAAACCAGGCTAGTAACTGAGTTCCACCCCACATCGATCCATTGCTCGTTAAACAACCAGAGTTACATACATGCAGATGAGCAAAGAAATAATGGCTTGTTTAGTTAATCCCTTGTTTCTTTTTTTGTATTGTTCCACCAAATACTTTGGTTGCAGGTTTGGGAGGGGACCAAATAACACCAGGAAACCACAAACCACACATTCCATTTGAACATCACCCTATATGCCAATTATAGTTAGTACACCAATGACAAAGTGTCATTCAAACTATGTTTTTCTTCTTCAGTGACTACGATACCAATCCCCATTTGCACGTCGCATAAGAACCCATATTATGGCTTAGCACAGTTGTGAATGTCATTGTGAGAAACTAGAGTTACTGCAAAGGAAGGGAAAAACATGTCACCAAAACATAGTTATGCTGTTGTCTAGAAACGCAGAAGGCTACCTTAATACCACAACGCGCATCATGAAAATCCATCACGTGATTTGTTTGGTTTTGGTTTAATAGATTGTCTAAAACCAATCATTCTGGTTTACAAACCACCGTTTATAGTTTAGTATGTTCTATTATCTCAATCGTTGCCCAACCAAACCATGGTTTAGGGTCACACATTAGCCATTTACAGCAGTTCTGGCATTTCAAATAAGGATCCTTCCCAACCATATTGGAGATGCTAAGGATTAAGCCCAAGACCCTTCTGCATGCAAGGTGTCTGCTTTGCCACTAGATATGGTCCATCCTATGACCTTTGAGCGAGCGAGTCCCAGTGCATTGCTATTCTAAATCCAGAAGCATCTTGCAGCTGCAAGATACAGGTGTTTCTCAGCCCATCTCTCCAAACAGCGACAAGACAGGCTGCCAAAACGAAACAACAGTGGTTGGATTATGTGCTACAGCACATAAGCATCTAAGAGTGTAGCAAGAGAAAAGTTCATCTAGTTGTTAAAGCTCCAATAAGACTCAAGTCCCCATTCAGAGAGACCGTGCATCTTTTCAGACAGCCAATGCATTAGCTCTGCCTGGTTCACACAACACCCTAAGATATGTGACTTAATTGCATTTAGCTTAGCATGGTTCAGTCCTTGGATCTGTAGCTTCATATGTCCTGAAAACTCAGTCACTATGGTTTATAAATCATGGCTTGTTGCTTAGCACAATGAACTCAATTTGTGACTGGGTTCACACACTGTGCCAAGCCATACTTTCACAAGAATAGTGCAGCTACGTAGCATTCAAATGTTGATGAATAAGGTTCTTGAATAAATCACAGTAGGTTGGATTTGCACATCTGAAGCCAAAATCAAGCCAACAGCATAATTGCTTAATACAATATGTAACCCTAGAGTTGATTGAACTACCTGCTTCCAAGAAGGCTGCACTTTCACTTAGGTAGAAACCCACAAATTACATTCTTCTGAAGATAAAGAATCTTTACTCTCAAAGGAACTGTGAGAAACCGGTATCCTGCCAGCTATGGTTGGACTCGAACCTCTCCAATCCCCAGCCAACATAGCTAATAGGCAAATATAATGGAAGCTGAAATACAACAGCATGTGAAGAGCCATGTATTCTTCATCCCTACTTTAAATAAAAAGTTTCTGTGATCCATTTTCTGGGATAATGCCATGCAGGGATCTTATAATGACTCTATACCTCCACAATCAGCAGTACTATGTTCCTGAAAATAAGTTGGGAATTCATTATAAAACAACTGTTATTATATCTTACTTGTGAGCTTCCTTAGAACCTCTGGCTGGCCATTGCAGACAAGCAGAAGATAGTCCACTCAGACCTTGGCCTCCTCCAGCATGCCTCGAGACCTTGTTCTGGTCAGCTTAACACTAGCAACTTTAGCAGCACTAAGTGAACTGCTTTCCATTTTGATGTTCTTCTGATGTTCCAATGTAGCCTCATTCCAAAATATAGTGGGAATGTCAGGGTGACCTGTCCTTTGTCACTTGGCAAATCCAGGCTGAGGACAGTCCAGCTTGAGACCAGGCAGTCCTTGCCACTTGCCCAATGATTTTAGGGTGTCAGTAGCCTCCTTAATTCTTAATGAAGTGGGGAGAAGCCTAGTTTAGATGTTTGGCAAACTAGAGAATCTCAGCCAAGACTGAAAACTACCTGTTCTTTGTCTTTCATTCTCCTTCCATCAAGCCAAGCTCAGGATTCCTGCATTCTGGAACACCCTCGCCCTCCCATGATGCCATTTCAACAAACATCACCATCATCTGCTAGAGGAGGCATCAGGTCTAGGTGTGGCTTTTGACTCATGCACATTAGAGTCCCAATAAGGCAAAAGAACTTTGCAGGATGGAAGGAGAGGAAGAGAAGCTCCAAAGGTAAAGGTTGGATCCATTTCCTCCTATGTCCTCCAACCTCTAGTGGATGGCATTGTAGGCCTGAAAATTCTTCTCCTTTGTACTTAGAAATAAGTTTCTTTTCCTGGTCGTTCAATTTTTTTTTTTTTTTAATAGCTAAGGCAGAATTACAAATTCCTGCAATAACAAAAAGGGGAAGCAAAGACCAAGGGAAGTTGAGACAGTCTTGAGAATCACATCTTTGAACATTCAGTATTGGACACTTCCCTATTGCCCTCTTCTCTCCCCCCGCCAGCATAACCTCGCAAAGGACAACTGGTTTGCCCTCCAACCCAGGTTTCCACAAGGTGGCCCAGACTTTGAAACTATTTTGATAACTGCAGAAGGACACATCAGTGGTCTTCACCCAACATCTTAAGCCATGGTTTGGTGAATAACCCCCACTGGCTGGTTTCACCCAAAATGCTAACCATAAACTAGTTTTACCAGCTCTTATGGTTCGGTTCCTGCAACACTCTGAGCCAGAAACAAGCCAGCTTGGTGGAGGCTCAGCAGATTCTGTCAACCTGATGGATGACTGGGTTGAAGCATTATGCCAAGCAATGACTTACTGGTGGTTTGGGAACAAACTACAATGGGATGGGGTGGCCCCACAGATTTACCCCGAATGAAACATTATGGCTTAGTGCCTCGTTTGAACAAGGCCACTGTTTCTGGACTTGGCCAGGTAGGCATAAACAAAGACTGGGTACCACAGGCTCCCCCCCAACTCAATCCCCCAGAGGACAAGAATTGGTGACAGTTACCAACCGAGGGGCAGAAACAAGGGAAAAAAGAGAAATTACCGGCAGTTTTCCCGTGGAGGCCGATCGCATGGTTTTGATCTCAGGTCCATGGGGGGTGGCATAAAGGCAACTGCCTCGAGGTAACGGAGCGACCACCGCCGTCTGGGGGTACACCTGAGCGAAATAGGCTGCGGGGAGAGCCCGCACCGGAGGGCCTGCGAGGTCGGCGACCACCAGCTCCGCCGAGCTGCCGACGGGCAGGCTTTTCTTTTGTGACTGGGGGGGGACGAGGGAAGGCGCCCCTCGGCCGGGGGCGGAAGGCCCTGCTTTGGGAACTCTCAGCATGGCCTTCCTCCGAGAGGCCAAGGACAACCGGGAAGATCTTGGAGCTCCAGCCACGCGCCTCGCGACCGACCTGGAGAGGTACAATGGGAAAAGTCCGCCTAGCCATTTAAAACTGCCATCGGGGGACTCCCGAGGATGGGCCCCTGCGGTACTTTTCAGAGCGGGGGGCGGTCGGCCGAAGAAGAAAAGTCCGGGACGAAAACGCAGCGAGGCTACAGCGCGGGAGGATCCGTTCACACGGCCCGGGTCTCTTCATCCACGCGCGTCTCCAGAGGCTCTTTTTTCTTGAAAGAGTCAGCCATCGGGTCACTCGTTAGTTCCTCTGCCCCCCGCCCGCTTCCACCCGTCCTTTCTAGCCGTGCACGGAAGCCCCAAAAGAAAAAGCACCCCGAGGTTTGCGCTTGGCCTTCCCGAGGGGACTTTCCCGGGAGTTCGGTTCGGCTGCAAAGTTGCAACTCGGCCAGGCGCCTGCC